TTAGAAGCATTTAATGTGCATATAGTCATAAACACGACCCATTCGGCTCAATGATACGGAACAAATGCTGGTTCGTCTTGCGGAACATTCATATTTTATAGACTTTTCTTAAATTTATGATAATCTTCGCTCCAATATTGGATTTTAGGAAGATCCTTACTGTTCGCGATAGATTTTATTTACTGTTTCCCCCAAATCGTAGCTTTTAGTTTGAAGTGCTGTATTTCCCCTAATCATAGTAAGATGTAGGTTATACGACAGTATACGATACCTGCGCAAAATCTGGCCTTGCAATCGGATCCTGATGCCAAGCCATGGGAAGTAGTTCAAGTATCGGAGCAGGAAATTGAGCGGTTGGTTGGTCGGGAAGTGGTGGGCGTCCTGAAGAAGAAATATTCAATTTTGGGTTACTCTGACGGTATCTTAATTCAAATAACCTCGCTTGTATGCCATTTCTGCAGCGGCAGCAGCTGGTTTCAAATGTGAGAAAGGAAGCTCGCCAGAATGAACTTCCCACACTACCAAGGCAAAACTGAATTATATATTACATTTTTTTTCTTTACTATCACCCGATAGATACTGTAATAGTGCAGCCAGCAAGTTCAGATGCAGGAATTTGAAATAAACCTGCCTCTCACCTGAATACATCAACACGCCGATCGTAACGACCAGATTGTGAGAAGACCTCTGGAGCCATCCATCTGAGATTCTGAAAAAGGAGTTTCTGGTTTTTAACTTGGATCTCAAGCGGAAGAAACAGCTTTTATCGTTTTCAGTTATAACAAAGAGAAGCAATTGTCGAATTTGACATTTGCAGAAAGTTGGTGAGAACATTTTGTTTAAGGCAAGTCTTTCGAGACAAACAAGAAAACACTAACCCCCGGCTGCTTTGTCATATTCTCCTCTTCCGTTTGGCACATGAAACGACTTTCACCAAAATCAGCAACTACCGCACGACCATCAAGATGGATCAGTATGTTGTGACTGTTCAAGTCCCTAAAATCTGCCAAACTTTCTTGGAGTTTTAAGGAAAACCCTGAAAGGACTGCGCATAATGAAAAAATTGCGCAAACCAAAGCTTTTTATGATTTTTTTCATAAAATCAGCTGTTTTGAGGCCCTGAATGATAAATGGAAAAAACTCACCTATGGATCACAGGTTTTGCCGCACTGTCATGCAAATACCGCATGCCTTGGGCTACATCGTATGATATCCTAAGGCGAAATGGAGGATCCAGAACACTAAACGAGGCATGAGATTATGAATGCAGTAAAAATTCTTATAAATGAATGCTTTTACCGTTTTTGCTCATGCAAAAGTGAGAACAATGAACCATTGCTGACAAACTCTGTGATAATCGCAAATTGCTGGAACAACAGTTTCTTCTAAAGAACAAATCAGTAAGGAAGGCTTGGCAACTCACGCTCGGATCATCCA